AAATAACTTCTGAACAACACTTGCTTTCAAGTAATCTTATGAGCAAGGAATCCTGCTAAATGTTAGAAGATACATTTAAATAAATTGTCTTACCAGAGTCAGCAGTTGAGCTTAAAATAAAAATGGTTCTTTCATTAAAGAACTTCTTCATAATTTTTAGCTTAGCACATCAAAATGCTTCTGTCAGAATATTATCTGAAACATTCAAATACGTTCATCAGAGTATAAATTATCTAAAATATAATTTATTAATATCATCAAAACTCTGAGATAGATCAGAACTAATCTTGTTCTAACAATATCTCCTCTGACCTTAATCAAGTGTCCAGCCTGACAGTTGTCGATGTTAATGAATGTGGGTGGTAGTGGAGGAAGATTTGTTAGCTTATCTTCGAGGCACAAGCCAAGTGCTATAGAGGTAACTAGCCCTTAAATGCAGAAAGGCGTAGACCCTCTTGCATACAAAGACTAGATATGCGACAGGAGGAATGTGGTGGCATTGATCTTTTGGTTAGGAGTGAAGGTACAACGCAGGAGGAACAATTATTTAGAATTTACTTTGTTGTTGTTGATCTTCCCAAAAATAGTGTTGAAGATGACGCGGTGAAAATACCAGATTGCGGGATTATGTGTAGATGATGCATAAAGTCCCTCCCAACTGGTAGGTTTGTCATCGGGGATAGCTTTCCAAATCCTAAAAGCTGTAGATGCCCAGTATGCTTCTGTAGGGATTCGGTCGTATACCTCCCCCTTACGAGAGAAGCGGAAGAAATCACTCAAAGTTGCTTGAGTTATAAAATATTCATCATTGAACATTCTAAAAGTTATTGTTTCGGATAGGTGCAGGCTTTCGTCGCATGGTGGTATGTAGGAGAACGAACTTAAGAATTCCAAAGTTAGCGACACATACGTAGGAAGGTTTTGTGTGAAGACGAATGCTAAATCATAGTTCCTAAGTAACCATCGCACACTATCAAGCAATCCCAATTTACGCAAATACTCAGTATCAACATACCGTGTAGGGATTACAGAGCGTTGATAAAATTTGAGATATTGAGCCCTCTGGTGTTCTCCGACTTCCCCATTTCGAAATGTAATCCCTGAAAGGTCAGGTTCTGGCCTCGAGTTTCTACGTGCCATAGCTGAATCAAAGATGGAATATGCTTAGGTGTTTTGCGTGAGAATTTGGGGGTTTAGAATGGAAGAGGGTTTTGAGAGTGTATATGTAGAGAAAAATAAAGAGGGTAATGTGTGGGAATTTGTGAGTTTTGAAGATAACGATATTGGAGGGAGTGAGATAGGCAGTTGTTTAATGGAGTTTAAGTGAAGTTTGAATAAAATGAGAAGGGAAATCGATAAGGGTTTCTATGTTAAAACATAAGCATTATGTTTTTGACTCTGTGCCGAGGGGCACGCTTTTGTGTCGGGCAGGAAAACACGAGGAGTGTGACGGTCGTCACGCTTGTATGGAGAGCGGCACGAAGTGAGAATAGAAAAGCAGGAAAAAAAATTAATTTTGTCTCCCAGACTTCCCAATAATAGTCATATATATTTCAATACTTGCAGGCAGTATATATATATATATATATATATATATATATATATATATATATATATATATATATATATATATATATATATATATATATATATATATATATATATATATATATATATATATATATGTAAGATTGGAAATATTAAAGCATAGAATATATATATGTAAATATGATAATAGAGAATTTAATAAAAAGTAATGTAAATTCCAAAAGTAAGCGAAGGAAAAACAAAACGAAATATAACTGAAAATAATTGCCAGAAGTAAAAGTGTACTTAAGAATTTAAAACAGAAAAATAATGGAAATTCTAATCTAATTGATCTTCTCCCCACACTTAAACAAAATAGTGTCTGCAATGTTTAAATGTGAAAAGAAGACATGCAGTAAGTCTGAAATAAAATTAGCCAAGACGATTATTAGGAAGAGCATCGGAGTAGACGTGCTGGTAAATATGGTCCAACTGTTCTGCCACCACATCCATGAAAGAATGAAAGTCGATCCTCAAAATAATGAGTTCATCTCTCAACAAATTAAGCTCGGATTAAAGAGAATTTATAGCAGGAGCTTGGTCGAATATGGGAGGTGGATTAGCAATCGGAGCAACAAAGGTGTTTGAGTCAGCTTGATCAGAAGATGGGAAATGGTGACAAAATGGAGGAGTTTTTAAGTTAGTTTCCTCATCAGATAGGAAGGAATCAAAGTGGTCATAAATTTGGGGTGTCTCAAGAGTAGGTGGTGGTGAAATTTGTGGTTCGGCCCAATCATATAACCAATTGTTCCTGTCATGAACGTTGGTCCTAGGGTTAGGCAGGGTGAAAAGAGGCATTAACTGATTGTTAATGAGCAGTTCAAAGGTAGACGAGCATATGTTCCCAATAATTCCCCTATTGAATCAAAAATGGATGTTCATTGGCTAGAATCTACCTAGAGGGACAATGTTTAGCAGTGGTTGTCTCGGGTCGATAGCATTTGCTATCATGGTCACTAGGCCTTCTATCAGGATTGGTTCATGGACAGTTCTTGCAAGACGATCAAAGTTGGCTATTATAAAGGTAACACCATTTACGGGACTGTTTTGCGATGCACTGACCATTATGAAAAGTTCGGCTCTTGATATTATGGTTATGTTTTCTGGCTTTCTAAAGAGGGTATGTGCTAGGATCTTATTAAAATACCTTAAGGAGGGGTTATGAATGTTTTCGGAGTGCATGTCATTAGGCTCATGGTTACTTATACCGGTAATACTGCCCCAAAAATAGTCGAGTTCACCCATATCAAAAAGTTCCTCTTGGATTATTGTGAATGTATCAAGGCCATGTGGAAATCCTAGAAGTTCGGCCATTTCTCTATGGGTATAGGTGTATTCAATATCAAACATCCTACACCTAATTAGTCCCCTGTTAAACCCTAGACCATGGTTAGGGTTATAGACAAGAGAGCTCAGAAACTCTAGGTTTAGTCTACTGTAGGAACTAAATCTTCTTCTTAAGGCAGGTGTATCCTAGCTTATTTGGCTTAACAAAAACAAGACATTGTCTCTAATCCCTAGCATGGTCATAGCAGGTCCATCAGGGTAGATACTCAATGCCATATCCCTATCAGCTAATGACTCAAAACGCCTCCTCTGATTTCTTCCTCTGAAAATAATTCCCATTGTGTCAATTGGATTCATCATGGTTAGTATAGTTAGCTAAAGTTAAGTTAGCCTGAAGTAGGTTGACAGTTAGAATTAAGTTAGTAGTGGGTAATATTAGAGAAATAATAGTGCATAATTTTATAAAAATAGAAATAAACAATAACAAAAGTTAGAAAAGAAAAGAAAAACTAAAAATAAGAAAATCAAAATGAAAAGACTAGATAATGGGTTGTCTCCCAATAAGCTCTTTATTTTAAGTCATAAGCTTGACATAACAGATGATTAATCTAATGAGTGGGGTGGCATCTTGTAGCGGTGAAAATCGGAGATCAAGCTATTAATTAACTTGACTCACAAAAGCAAGAGTCGCCACCGCGCTTTATTATTTCCAAGGGAAAAGGGAAAATAGCGAAATAAAACCCTAAAATATGCAATGTAAAATAATACTTAAAAGTAATAAAAATACAATGCGTTTTTGAAAGAGATCTAAAGTTCGGGGGTTGGTTATACAATGGGAAGGTAATAGCACCCAATGCATCTGCGGTACTCCGCAGGAACCTTTTGAAATATCTGTTTTTTATTAAAAATTGTTTGTTTGATTAAAATGGTTCGTTTGGCTAAAAATAGGCGTGGACGAGATTTTGAAGATACGACGACCTAGTGTCGAAGTTTGGACTTAAAAGGTGTGAGTTTGAAATTTGAATCTTTTAGGAAAATCGACTTAAGTTTGGAAAAATGGTAAATAAGAAGAAAAAAATGAATGGGGGTATTCGCACGATTGTAGAAGACGTATTTGATGACATGAAGTCAGGTGAGTTGAAACATTTCCCTTGGAATTAATCATAAGCAGGTAGATCTAATATTCGAGTAAGAAATCGTAAATAATTAAAATCCACGAGAAACGAACAAGGTAGATAACAAGATAAATCGTAAGAAATTAAATGAATGGACAAAGAAGAATCATGAATAAAAGAAAAGTGTAATTAAAAAATTATCTAAACTAATTTGAAATTCTAAGGTTACTAAGTAAACTAAACTTAAATTCTAAAGTGTCTAACTAAATTAAATAAAATTTTGAAGTTATTAACTAAAACTAAATTAAAACTCTAAAGTTACTAACAAAAATTCGAAAGTTATTAAATTAAATCTAAAATAAATTAACGCTCTAATATTACTGAATTAGGTCTAAACTAAATTAATTCTAAAGTTGCTAAATTACATCTAAACTAGTTTAAGTATAAACTAAATTCATTATAAAATTACTAAGTTAATCTAAACTATATTAATAATAAAATTACTAACTTAAATCAAAACTAAATTAATTCTAAATTAAAGATTAAAATTCTAAGATTAAATTAAAATTCTAAAGTTATCAAAATGTATCTAAACTAATTGGAAGTTCTAAAGTTATAAAATAGATCTAAACAAATTAAAAAAAACTCTAAGTTAATACTAAACTAAATCTGAATATAAGATTTACTAATATTTTTTATATATTTTTTTGTTAGACATTGTATCACATTAATTAATAATTAAAATAACCAAATGAACATGGAACATGAAGAAATTGGGTACCTGTGAAACAAAACCAAACGAATAGTCCTTTTCTATGTCTTCAATTCTTGGGACCAATGTTAGGCCGACACGTGGTGATGGAAAGAAAAATAAAAATAAAATTAATACTACCTGATATAACACCGAACAGGGATAAGGTTTCACCATCTCTTTCACTTCCTCTGCTCCCTTTTCTTTGTCTCCATTTTCTTTTCAAAAAAAATCAAAGAAAAAAAAACAACACTTTCAACATGATGCCGACAAAAAGCAATTACTGGAACGAAACTTGGATGGTGATAGATGTCAACAGATTTCCGGTGATTCATAGTTGGACAATGCTGGCCGATGGAAGGGCTTGTGAGGTCACGATTGGCGTCGCGTTGTTGCAGCGGGGATGCGAATCGGAGGGAGATATCTCTGGAGGAGATGGTGTTGTTGCTACACATTTGAACTTATGTTGTTTGTATTTGTCTCTAACAGCTTGCAAAGTGGCCCCTTTCCTACCAAGGTACAAGTCATGTATGTTTAGAACACATTCCTTCAAATCAGCAGGTTTATAACTGGTGCATTGATAGATGGATGAATTCCAAGGTCGAGTCTTTGGGCTTAACATGAAACGTGCTAGAAATAGAACTGATGCAGCCACCATAGAAGGCAAAAACTTTACACAATTATAATCCAACAAACTGAGCTCAACAAGATAACAGCAAAGGAAACTCAAACTGCAACTCAGAAGCATCAACACCCTCTTGTCCAACTTTAGTGATGAATCTTATTAGAAATGTCTTTATCGTAGGACCACCCAACTCAAACTTCAAAGACTTCAAAATTTCAGCCTCCATACTCAAAACCTCTTCCTTAGAGTATGTATTGTCAGTAATGTAACAAAAATCCTCCACTTCAGGTGGCTTAATCTCCTCATATTTTGAAGCAATCAACATTGAAGAAACACCAAGCAATTGCAACTTCTGTCTACTCAAATCATTCAAAGACAGAAACCTATCAATGTAAGAAACCGAGAAATATAGCGTATCCGAAACAAGCTTGTACTCTTCTGCAACTTCAACTAACCAATCCACAAGAACACCCCTCATATTGGCATTAATATCCCTCTGAACTTTCTGTATATAATCAGGTAAAGGCCTCTTACTAGGATCAACCTCCAAATTACGAAGGTAATCGTGAATATCCGAAACATATGGTTCACATAACTGAGGATCTTCCGATTTATCCGACACTGGAGATTTAGCGGTGTTCCTCTTCTTCTTCTGCCGGTGACTGTGACTATGAGTATCGGAAACGAGTTTCTCGGTTTCTGAAACGACGTTGTTGGTTATATCACCGAGTGCAACGCGCTTTCGTTTGCGTTGCTCGCACAGTGCAGCTACTGCTCTTTTCTTCGCTTCACGTTGAGGGCGGCGCGTGGAGTTATCTTGGTCGGCCATGAAGGAGTTTTAGAACGGAATGGAGATAAGAGTTGGTGTTGCTGTTTGTAGCTGGTTGTGTTGCTTCTCCCATCTTTCTTGCATATTCTATGGAAGAGGATGGTGGTGGTTGATTTGGGTGTAGTGGTGGAAGGCGGAAATGGTGTGAGGTGTTTGAGAGATTCTTGAGATGTAAAGTCTTAGATTAGAAGCTGAGATAGTGAAAGAAGAAGGAATGAAGTGAAAGAGAGTGGCAATGGTGCATAGAAGAAGTAATGTTGTGAGGAGAAATTTGAGTTCTGCAACATAGTTTCTTGGTGGAGAAACAAAGAGCTTCTTTTCTTTGTCTTTGATGGCCATTGATTGATGTAGCCACGTTGAAGTGGAAGTGACTATTTTGGAGTGAGTGATGAGTTTGTGTGTTGTTAATTGTGTGTCCATTGTTTGTGTGTTTAGATTGAAGAGATAAAGAGATGGTGGCTTACTGTAAGTAGAAAAAAGAGGAATAGAAAGTTAGAGAGAGATAAGGGTAAAAAGTGATTAATATTGTTTTGGCAATTTTGTATCGATCCTCAATTTCATCCAACAACCAATGAAAATCAAGCATAGTATATTTAATATTTTTTTGTGACTAAAAAGCCCTTTAATGACAAAAATAAAAATAAAACTTGAAAGTATAAAAAAAAAACTCAATTTAAAATGATTTTTTTGAATATTTTATGAATAAAAAATAAAGACCCAAAAATGACCGAAAATGATAAAAAAACGGACGAAAATTTATCCGAAAAAATAAAATGAACACATTAAAATAATCTACATGTCACAAAGATTAAAGAAAAAAATATTCAAGAAGTCGAAATCAAAATAAAATGATAATAAAAATATCGGGCTAAAACAGATGTTTACGGTTAAAAACGAGACTTCAAATTGTACGAAAAAATAAGGCGAGCATACCGTCATAATCTACACGAAACGCAGATTCATAAAATGATCGGTAAAAGGTGAAAACTTGAAATATTTTCTCGCTAATTTCCCGCATAGTGTCGAATCGCTTTTAACAGTCTGTCTATAAAACCGAAATATTTTATTATCGACATATAAACAACTTGGAGCAATGCAAGAAAATAGTAAACAGATAAAAATGAATGAAGTGAAATGTCGGGTATTTTACAACTGAAAGACGATGCAAACTTTGATTTAAACTGACTTTTCTGGTCAACTTAAATACGACTAATGATGCAAAATATGATGAATGAAGATATTTACTAATGATTGTGACCAAATGACAAAATATGATATGAAAGTGCGACTAAAACATATTAGGGGCGAAATTTAGGGTGCAACAGTGTGCCTTGATGAATCAGCCTTCGAGAATCCATAATCAACCGTACTTTTGGCTTGGGAGACTCAAAACCTTAATTGAGGCGCGACACCTGATGCTCTTGATTCAGACCTGTCTCTGCACATGAAGCAAAAGAAAACATGAACATACACCTTTGTATGCAATTAGAAATTAGTGATACATAGGCTAAAAATGTTCAAAAACACTTGACAATCTTCGCATAGTCAAAGCTTGAAAGTGAGAGGTTAAAACCGACTGTATTTCGTGACCTTGACTTATCTTAAAAAATGCAAAAAATAAAAATGGGATCTTAGGTCAAAAATTGGGGTACAACAGCTGCCCCTATTTAAGTTTCTTCTGTCTGGAGATATGAAGATTGGGATCTTCATTTCGACGAGATTGAAGGGACTTAAATATAGAATACACAATTTTTGGCCTTAAGATACCGCGATTATGTTCATGATATGATATGAATGTAATGCTCTGAATTTTATGGGGAATGACGCCATACGAGACAGACTATGCTGGAGAAACCAAGCACATTATAGTAATCCTACAGGGGAACAGATTATAACACCACTGGGGAAACAAAGTCATAGACTTCAAATGAGAGACTCTTGAATGATTTACATCAGTATTGGGACTGGAAAAGGTAATGATTTACATCAGTACTGTGACTGGAAAAGCATATGATTGACACCAGTACTGTGACTGGAAAAGGAAATGATGAGACTGGAAAATGATTGACATCAGCACTGTGGCTGGAAAACAAAATGATTGACATTAGCACTGTGGCTGGAGATAAACATCTCTGATTTCTGAATTTTACCAAGAACGGTAACACATTTCTTCTTTAACCAAGATATCGCTTGAAAAGGATAAAATAACAAACTTTCCCACGGGACTTTTCCGAAGGGATGCCATTTGCTGAGTAAACATTATTGTTGGGGATACACAAGCTGCTCAAATAAAGAGGCCGCCACTTGCTTCCTTTCAAAGGTGTCAATAACATACAAGCTGCTCATGAAGAGACCGTCACTTGCTGTCTTCAAAGAATATTAAAGCACACAAGATGCTCATGAAGAGTCCGCCACTTGTTGCCAAAAACCCACAAGCTGCTCATAAAGAAGCTGCCACTTGCTGTCTTCAAAGAATATCAAAGCACACAAGCTGCTCATGAAGAGTCCGCCACTTGTTGCCAAAAACCCACAAGCTGCTCATAAAGAAACTGCCACTTGCTGTCTTCAAAGAATATCAAAGCACACAAGCTGCTCATGAAGAGTCTGCCACTTGTTGCCTTCAAAGAATATCAAAGCACACAAGCTGCTCATGAAGAGTCTGCCACTTGTTGCCAATAACCCACAAGCTGCTCATGAAGAAGCTGCCACTTGTTGTCTTCAAGGGAACAATAACACACAAGTTGCTCAAATAGATAAGCTGCCACTTGCTGTCTTCCAAAAATACTAACGTACAAGCTGCTCATGAAGAAGCTGCCACTTGCCGTTTTCCGTACAAGCTGCTCATGAAGAGACCGCCACTTGCCATTTTTCAAAGATAACAATAACACACAAGTTGCTCATGAAGAGACCGCCGCTTGCTGTTTTTCAAGAGAACAATAACACACAAGTTGCTCATGAAGAGACTTCCGCTTGTTGTTTTCAAAGGTGATAATAACATACAAGTTGCTCATGAAGAGACCGCCGCTTGCTGTTTTTCAAAGGTATTAAAGTACACAAGCTGCTCATGAAGAGTCTGTCACTTGTTACTTTCAAAGATACCAATAACCCACAAGCTGCTCATAAAGAGACCGCCACTTGCTGTCTTCAAAGAATACTAAAGCACACAAGCTGCTCATGAAGAGTCTGCCACTTGTTGCTTTCAAAGATATAAATAACACATCATGAAGATATTGCTGGAGGTGAGAATCAATAATTTCATCGAGGATGGACAAAATGCTCATGAAGAGACCGCCATTTGTCGTAGAGAAATCAGAAATAATCAAACTGCTCAAATGAAGAGTCAGTCGCTTGTTGTCATATCGATATTCCAGAAGAAGGTTGTGATAACACTGCTGGGGAATAAAGTTCATCTTCAATGGGGAACCATGAATAAATCCTTCTTGAGGAGACCAAGTATTTACGTTGCAAAATAAATGCACTCTCCACCTAGGTTTCACAGCCTAGAGAGATCCACAGGGTATCGTTCACGAGAGACAAAGCTCAATCCAGGAATAACCTGGAGAGAAAAACAGTCAAACAAGACTCCACCCAATGAGGAAACAACTCAAATGGGGATTTATCCTATCCAGAGATGGAAAAGGAAAGCTAAAGCAAGATTCTTCCACGAGAGTTAACTCAGTGGGGAATTAGAAAGAAGACGCACTTTCTGCTTAAGTTGGCACTCTATTTGGAAAGATCAAATACATTATTTGAATAGACACAACCAAGGTATACGAACTCAATGACATCAGCAAATACAACTGTGCGTGCATGATGCAAGTGTGAATGAATAAATGAATGCCATGTATGTGCTGACCAAACAAATAGACAAGATAAACTGGAGATGATAAGACATCATACCATAACCCAACACTCGGCTAATCTCAACAGGATGGGAACATTACTGGAGATAAAACACAGGCCATCATTGGAGCAAAGTCCTTTTACAAGGCTTAAATATCTATGGAGGGAAAGATATTTTCAGGTAGAAAACCCAAAGTCCAGTCTTCTATTGCAAACAATCCATTGAAAGGATAACAACACGAACAAAGTTTCAGCTGGAAAGAAGTCTTGCT